GAAAGATAATTGAACTACAGAATTAGCATGTTTGAAAATAAATATCAGTAAATGGTATCTTAGTAGTAGTCATGATGGTCTCGTAGTCAAAGTTTGTAGTCAAAGAGTTATTTTTGCACAAATAACTCTTGTTAAAATACTCCTTACTTTGGGGAAATAAAGGTTTTTTGGTTTAAAGTCCTCCTGTCTGAATATATAACCATGTGTTCGAGCAGATTACATACACCCGAGACTTTTGTTTTCTTTTAATAAATAGTGAATTCAGTTGAGGCGACTAACCTCTGCACACCTGGTAAGGAAGATTTTTCCAATGTCCTCATTAAGTCCAAGGACCTGTTTGCATCTAATTCCTTGTTCAGTCCAGCAAAAGCAACAGCAGCTGCAACACACCCTGACATCTTGACTGAAATCAGTGCCAGAGACGCCACCAAGGTAACTGAGCAGCATAATGACGTTTTCAGTGTTGATCCTCCCAGCCACGCTCTAGTCCCAACCTTGTAGCCCACTCCCCTTCGAAATCTGCATATGCGGACAATAGAAAGCATTGGTGGAAAGTGACAGTATTCTGTCACATTGCCCTTAACGGACCTCTCGTATTTAATGAGGTCAGGTGGGTGTCTACCGCTTTTGCCCTTTGCTGAAGCTCCCTACATAGGAGAAATCCTTCTCTAAAACACACACACACACACACACACACACACACACACGTGCAAACACACTTGCATGCACACGCATATATAATGCATAAACACATTTGGGAGAACATCTACAAATAGAAAACACACCTTCCATCACCTTCCATAAACATGCATTCTTAGCGTTCACTACAGCACACGTACACACGCGCGCGCGCGCGCACACACACACACACACACACACACACACACACACACACTCCCGGGGAGAATCACAGACCCAAACAAAATGCCACGTACCCGGAGAGCTCAGAATCCTTCCTACGCTGCAGATTGAACCCACTCAGAGAAACGCACGTCTATAGACTTTCGCTCGCAGTGTGCCCACTTCCCCACTTCCCAGAACAAAACTCCCTTCAGATGCAACCGTCTTGCTTCTCCTTAGCGGGCAGCTCCACTTCAGAGCCCAGGGGCGAAAGGTGACCAGGGTAATCGTGGGGTGGACCGGGACGGGGGCCATCCGTTTGTGGGTAATGTGGAGAGCTACAAACTCAAACTGGTTGGCACTCTTGACCAAACACTCTAGATAGTTGCTAATCCCCTTGATTGCCTTCAGCATGCAAATGGAGCCAGAAGCTCAGGCAATTACCTATTCCAGGACCAGCGTAGTAGCCGTCTCCCCTCTTGAGATGGGATCAGATCCCCGAAAAGGTCAAATCACCAATCAAGCGCCTAGTCTAAGGAAGTTACTGGTTCTAAGATCTAGGCCAGGGCCAGATGAAAAAAAAAATTTAAGAAATTGACACACAGCAATTAAACACGCTGGTCTCGGGAAGCAGCTCCCCTACACCAGGGGATGAAAGAAAACAGGGTCCCTTACAGATGGAGAAGAGAAGCGGGTGACTTAACCATGGCCAGTAGATGGCGCAAGAACTCTTCCTTTGTACAGTTTAACCCTTGAGTGATGTGTGGGGCTGCCAATTCCAGATGTATAGATACATACATTTTCTGTTTTGAAAGAAACCTCCTATTTACATATTTGGGACCGATTCAAAATTAAGACAAATAAGTCTGTTCTAGATAACTACCGTAGATAAAGTAGTTTAACTGCGGCACACATCAGCCGAAAAGCGGGTTGGGAGGATGAAAGGGCGAACTACGGGGTGAAAGGACTCTAATTCCATCCCCACCCAGCCCCCTCCCTGGTCATGGACGAAATCGGTTTATTGAATCGTAAAAAACTGGTTCCAGGTTTACAAGTAAGCATTTGAATATGTAAATGTATGTCTGGAAAAAAATGTTCTCTATGATCTCCTTTTCAATTAAATCACAGGACAATAAATGCGAGACGCCAGCCTGAAATATACTGCAACTACTGTAGTAACACATCCCATGATAACGACGTGGGCATCGATGGAGCCCAATGCATTATCATCACGGTTTCCCCCAATGCACCCCCGATCCTCTGATTTAAAAAATCCTTTAACATGTTTCTGTATTCACAGGCTGCAATGGAGAGCTCACTAACATAATATTTCTTGGGCTGCTTTTACAGGCAGAATTGATCTATTCGGAGGAGAGGGAAAAAAAAAAAACAGGCCCCTTAATTTCAAATATCGTGGGGAGTTTGTCAGAGAGCAGAGCTGGGCTTTAAGAGGCTTACTAGTGGTTTCTGGTGGTTGCTATAAGGAGCTAAAAATGAGGTAGATTTTGGTGGAGGGGAAAAATCGCGCAAGAAAAGACAGAATCCAGAGTACGGAGACTTTGTGCCCCCGTTAGAGAGATGGTTGAGTCCTCGTCAAGGTTGCTGTGGTATCCCAGAAACACCATTCACTCCGAGCTGTGACCGCGCACCAACAACAGCAACAACTCTGCTGCGCCGGGCTGAGGAGCAGAAATTAGGAGCTCGCGAATAATATGAAAGGGATCCGCAAAGGGGAAAGCCGAGCAAAGGAATCCAAACCCCTGGAGCCTGGCACGAGAAGATGCGCTAAATGTGGCCGCCTAGACTTCACCCTAATGAAGAAAATGGGGATTAAAAGTGGATTTACGTTTTGGAACCTCGTCTTTTTATTGACGGTGTCTTGTGTGAAAGGTAGGTCTGCTTTCGGGGGTCCCCTCTGCTTTGGATGGAGGTGAGCTGACTTGTCGCCAGAGAGACGCTGGTAGCTTACTTTGTAATTTGCATTGATAAAATAATCATAATAATACTGAAGAAGGAGTTGATTCACAGCTCTTTTTCTTCCCCCTCAGATAGGAAATGCATTTTGCTTGCCAGATTTGGCATTCAATGCAGTGATTGAGCTTGTGCTCAATAAATATTCTTGCAGTATGCTCAAACGAATACGTGAGTTGGTTGGTATAGCCTCTCTAACTAGTGGATATCCAGGCAGAATTCCTCTGCAAGACTTTTTTTTTGGTGGTGAGGATTACCTTGATTTCTAAACGAACCAGTGGTTTTTATGCTTTGGTTGGAATATTTATATTAAAGACTCATGTAAATGCTTTGTAACCCTTTCAGGTAGGAAAGTTACCTACATGCTAGGAATGTGGAGATTTTAAGTGCATTAGGATACAGGGGTCTTCCAAGCATCTCCCCACCACCGCCAACATAAATGTCTTCATGCACATGTGAATTATTTCTACGTGGGCTCTTATGCATTGGTAAATGGTAGGGGAGGTTTCCCACGTCCTGTGGTAGCCGTTTGGCTTAAAATGGGGCTTTAAAACGATCTGAGATGCCTTGAAGTATAAATATCCACCTTTGGGGATGAATGAAGGTAGGAGGAAAGTCATTAGCTGAGCACCAAAAAGAAAAGCCTCAGAAAGTCTCCGCGTTCACACAGGTAGAGTGAGTGTCACATGCACAGACAAGGGGAGGTGGTGGGTGGGATATAAAATTTATTTCTAAACAGAAAGGCAAGGGACAGTCAGGATCATTAGAAGGAGAGCTGTCCTCTAGGAGAAAATAGATCTCAGCTCTGTTCCACAACTTATCCTGCACCCTGATGCCCATTAATTGCTGCAAAGAATACTCAGGGGGTGTTTATGACTCATGCCATCATTTTTGAACAATCACCTTCCCATACTCATGGCAGCTCGCATAGACGCGATGGATGTCGCTTTTAGCTAAGCTAGTTTCAAATCCCCGGTGTCTGTGTGTCGGGGGGTGGACGGTGGGGGGTGTTTTGGCCCAGGCGCGCCACGGCTGTCAACACAAACTGGACGCTTCTTCCTTTGTGAAGGAGTGCCTCTCTGAACCGCAATCGGGCCACGTCTCTATGAAACAGTTTATTGTCCAGCTTGCAGCTGGCTGTCCCCCCACAGAAGGCAGCCCATTTGCATTCAGTAGAAATGATAATTCATGTTTTGGGTGGAGGGGAGCTGGAGGGGTTACCTCTCCCTCTTTAGGACCAAAGATGGGTGGCATGTCTCGAATTTTAATTTACATCCCTAAATGCCAAGAAGTCTCCTCCTGGTCTCTGTGGCAACAACTGCCCTGTAATCTCAACCTGCTCCTTAAAGCTTGATTTTTTATTTTTTTATTTTTTTCCCCTGGAACTTCAGCGCAGTTCTAAGCCAAACTGCTTGTTCTAAGCTGCACAACTACGCTGCCTAGTGCACAAACCGCGTTTGGGGGTGCTTACAAAGGGTATTCGTCGCCGGCTCAACGTGTGAGGAGCCTCACATTTGTGCTTAGTTCTCCTGCCACTGGGAGTCGTTGGTTAGTGGATGGCCCTGGGGCTGCCTGCTAGACGCGCACTCTGCGTGGGGGTGGCGCAAGGAGCCAGCAACAGCTTCTGGCAGGAAAAGATGTTGGGGTGTCTCCTGCTAGAGGGTGACTGGGGGTTAAGCGCGAGTTTTCATGTGATACCTGTTGAGCCAAAACACATTCGGGGGGCAGGTCGGGGGAGGGAGTCTCCAAAGAGGAGAGAGCACGCAGCCTGACAAACACTGAGCCACGCCGCCTGCAATTACAGCCCGGCTGCTAGCACCTACCGTATTTTCCGAATAAGACGCGCCTATAGAAAAAGAACGGCGCCTTAATTTGCTTTAAATGGCACCGGAAATGGGATCCCTCTCTACTCACAGCTCCCGGACTTTGGGCTGAGATAATCAGTAGCACTGAGTATATTCCAGATTGAGGGACATTGGGAAGAAGGAGTGTGTCACCCTCTGCTTTGGTCCTATCCGAAACCAATTTTCTACGGACCGTTTAAAAAATGTTTTTAATGGTAATAAGGTTCTTCGTTGTCACCTATCTGCCACTTGGAAGGCATCTCCTGTATTTTACAACTTGAAACGTTGTCTTCAAATTCTGAGAAACAAACTTAGATAGGCTGTATGCATTAGAGCTGCTCCCTAACTACGGGTGGTACCGGTTTGGGCAGTTGCTTCTTATTTCAATTTCACCTCGGTCTCAAGGCTTTCTTAAAAATGAGATTGCTGCAGTGGCTTAAATGTTGTTTCCCGCTTTTGTCTTCCATACTGTATTTTCTGGCCTCAAGTCCACTGGAAAGCTCATAATGGGAAGTTGATGTAAAGGCTTTCCAAGTCCTAGTTTAGGCTAGCGAGGGGTCAGGAAGTCTGAGGCGCAGTTTTCTAAGGGAACAGCTCCGCTGCAAGATTTCCACCTGGTACCCACACTTTTCATCCATCGACCATCTCATCTCTGCCTGAAACAGCAGTGACAAAGAGGCTCGGTGGGAGGAAACGCCTCAGAGTAGAAGGCAAAGTGGCCTTAAGTAGTAGGCCTGAACCACCTGAGTGGGGATGATAAGAGTCAACCTTCTCTGGGCATTTTATCTCCACTATTATCTAAAATAACGGTGGTGGAGGGCACCAAATTGAGAGATGGGGCAGGGCAGGGCGGAGGCTGCTTAGACCTGATGCTTGCCTATTTCAAGCTCACACACACACACACACACACACACACACACACACACACACACACACGTTCCTGAAATACAGCTTACAGCAGCGGCGTGTCTGTTTAGGTTTCACCCAGACAGAAACTGTGAGTCTCCAAGTCGTGCTTAAACGTCCCGCCCACGTAAACAAACGTCCCGGGGTGCTTTCCCACATCCTTCTCCGGGGATTCCGGGGGGAGCACAGAACCCTTGCAGAGAGAGTACAAGGTGCCCTGACCTCGGTTGACAGCGGGTGGGAGCCAGTGTGCCACGTCCCCCACCCGGTGCCAGGGCATGCTTCCAGGGCTTCTCGTACACAGAACCCCGGACTTCGAGAAGGATCCACGTTTCCACGTGCTCTGGGACTCCAAGGAGATATTCCTCCCGCCACAGAGCTCTTCTGAAAGACTGAGGCTCACATCTTCTCTCCCAGGTTATTACTACTGGAAAGAGTCTCCATGTCCATGCGGTGGGAGAGCTGCCAGCGGCGCTCATCAGCACCTTTCACCCATCCTAAGCGGGCCGCGCTTAGAGGTCTGGTACCCTCACTGCCGGTCCTCCAGGCAGTGTAACCTGAGAGGTCTAGAAGATATGTCATATCTCGAGAGAGCTTTTCAAAGCGAGGTGGGGTGGGTTAATATCCTTACCAAACAATAACAGCAAACAAAAACCCACCCAGCACCATTATCACCATCAAAACTTGTCCCCTGAGGTTTGCACGACTGAGATACCTGCTAGGAGGTGACCTTTGTGTTTGAGGCACGGGTCCCTGTCCAGTCGCATTTGGACAAGTATTCCTCCCTTCCATCTATTTCCTCTGGGAATGTTTATTAATTTCTTCTGGAATGCCGGAATCCCTGAAATTTCCAAGGACCTCTCGAGCTTGAGACTGAGCGCCTGACTTGGCCTACGGCGCGCGCCTGCGTGTGTGTGTGCGTGTGTGTGTGTGCACGCGCGCGCCCTGGGAGCCGAAGGTCCACATGGATTGACACGGAGGAGCCTCTGGGAGGCCTGAAAGTTGGGGGGAGGGAGATTCAGAGGAGGAAACGGTGGCGGGGAAGAGTATGTTTATGTTCCCCGGCCTCTAGATGGTTGGTGAGCTGCGGCCGCTGCTGTCGCAAAATCCTTCAGGGGCGCCAAGAAAGCTGCCTTTCCCCAAACTGACCGTAGCTGCCCTCTCTCGAACTTCAACTATAACGGACACTGGGGAGTTCGAAAACCTCATTGGGAAACAAGTAATGGGATGGCTGCTCCTCTACGATCCCCCTCATCCCTACTCCAGCTCGGTCACTGAGAGAAAGGCAGACAGGGAGGCGGTCCCAAGGTTCAAGCACCGCAAGGACTTAGTTGGACCCTAGGGGAAAAGGTAGAAGAAATGAAACAGCACAGGGTCATCCCGATCGCCGTGTGGTCCTCTCCCAGCCCGGCTGGAGTGGCTGAAAACTGAAAGCAGGACATGCCAGGGGGTTGCAGCGCACTGCAGAATAATAATGAAGCAGGACGCCCAAAGAAGGATCCGCTCAGGCATCAGGCGGATTCCCTTCTCCCTGAACACGGTGCCTTCAGGGAGTCTTTGCACCTCGGAGTTGCTAAACCTACCCAATTTGCCGCCCTGAAAAGGCTTGAAGAGTACCCAGAATGATGAACTGAACTCGCTCTGAACAGTTACCTTGCTGAAATCGGTCCGGAATGTCATTTTGCAGCACCTTCTTTTCCCGAATCTTCTGGTGTTGAGGGTTTGGGGAGGGGGCAGCCGCATCAAGCCGTCATAGCAAGAGTGTGTGAGCAGAGATAACTAAGGAGCTGGTTTCAGCCTCTTGAAAACCTGATGCCAGCTCCTTTGCCATCCTTCAAGGAGAAAAGTGGTAGAATTACTCAATAAATTAATTACTTCAGGAGCATTGACAGTTGCAGTAGTTATTACTGTTCATGATATTATTTAGAGTTACTATTTGTGGGGTAACTGAATATATTTGGGATATACATGTCTTTCCCCTGAGCTGACCACGGAAACAGTGAAATAATAAAGCAAAACTAGCAAATGACATCTATACATGTTTCTAAATATAGTAAAACTCCAACATAAGGGAGATCTGACAAAACAAAAGGTAAGAGAGAACATTAACAATGCCACTGGACTTATATGGAAACAAACTCTGATGTTAAATAAATGCTTGTCTGAGAT